CCCTGCATTCAAAATTACAAGCATTATTGAAATAAAATAACTAAAAAAAAAATATTATGAGACTTTGTTACCAGACATTAATACATCATGTCAATGCATGCAGAGGATTTGGGCAACAAACGTTTACAATAAATTATGCAAACTAAACCTGCTTAGTCACGCATTCAAATGCAAAAAAAAAAATAAATTACAGATTTCTTCGGTCATTACAGAATTAGATGCTAATGGGTATGAAAGCTAAAATCCAAATTTTCATCACAGTGGCAATTAACAATTTGGTCAAGCCGTCGAAGTCATGGGACCAGCCCATGTACCTATCGTCATCACGTTCATTTTTTATTATTGCTTCATTATTGTTTCATGATCACTGTTGCCTTGGTCTTATAACTGATAGGCATCTTTACAAAAACAAATAAACAAATGAAAGAACACATATGCAAGTCTCTTAAGCTCGCAGCTTTCAATGGATTCCTCGCCTCTCCTTTCTCAGGCCGGCCAACTCCTTTTCTTAGTATACAAGGCAAGAATTATTATCTTTTCAGTCTCGTAGTTTTTTATTCATATATTTCTTTGTCTTCTTTCTATTTTGTTTATTTCTACTCTCTTCATTTCAGGTTTTATTATTCCTGCTTGAGTGCGACAAACATGCTTTCCCAGCTCATCAGACTTCATAAAATATTTTGAGCCCAGCTTTAAAGTAATGATAACTTTGCAGGAATTATTATTTAATGCCTCCCCTCAGATCTTTCTTTGATTTTACCAAAATGGACCGGATTAATCTCCACTTACAAAGAACTTTTAGGCAGCTCTTCTTGATTTATTGGTTAAGAGTTTAACTCTTAACTAAGAGATTTTAAATTCACACTGTTCTTAATTCTCCTTTTTGAAATACACGGTGGAGTACCATATCATCAATGGCCCCCCTAAAAAAAAAAAAACTTTATTTTTTTGATAATTAGAGTTTATATAATTCCTTAATAAAAATTTAATTTTTTTCTTCTTTAACCCTCATTTCTATTGAGAAGTGATTTAGAATTTATATTTTATTTTATTTTTGAAAATGATAATTAAAGTTTAAATATTTTCTTAATATATATATATATA